TGATCATCATGACCATCGCAGTGGTCATCATCATCATCATCAGCATCATTCTCCACCATCGTCATCGTCATCACCATGACTACTCAGCACCAGTACCAGCACCCAGCACCTAGCATCAGCACCGGTGTCATGAGAAACATTTGCGAGGTTGGAGCCACGCAAAGCTACCACACGAGCAAAACGTAACAGCGCTGTACACGTTTGGCAGGTCAGATTGGGGAAGGTATCACTCCTGGGAGGATGAAGCTCTCAATGCTGAAGCTTTCACACTCGAAAGCCCGATGCTGGTGTAGGAGTAGGAGGAATAAGTCGATCCAGGTATTGGGGTATCTTATAAGAAGGACGACTATGAAGCACACACTTTGGGTAGGTTTTGATTTACCCCCCCCTCTCCTTCGCACAGAAGTCAGGCGAAGGAATGTTGAGTTCGAATGTGCACACGCAGCCAGACAAAAGTGTCCCCAGACTGTAAGGCATGAAGCAAAAACCGAGCGGAACTAAACAGCAATGGACTGGGGGAGCTCTCAGGTGTCCGAACGGAGATGTTGTGCAGCCCCCAATGATGAGCAGTTTCGGATAGACTCTTGCCATGCTTCTCATGTGGCTTAGGCTGCGATGTCCCATCGGTTTTGAGATGTACGGTGCTAGTCCATCTGCAGAGCGTTAGCATTCCTGCGCCTGTGAAAGCAGCTGCTCTCACGATTCTCACGGTGCACTCGACATTCGAAGGGAGGTTGTTCAGCTTAAAACCCTAAGCCCGTCCAGCCGAAACTCCCAACCCCAAGCCATAATGAAGATATCTAAATTTTATTAGACTAGAGTCTTGTGGGTGTCTTATACTGCAATTTTACTCGGGAACGTATTACAAATTATTTAGGTACTTAGAACCCCCCCCAAAACCCAAGATCATAGATCCTTATATGCAACCCTTATAGATGCCTTCAAGGAGGCCTTGTGGATTCCTTCAAGGAACTCTCAAAGACGCCCCAAACTGTCCGACTCTGAGATCTTTGACGGGCCGGACTCCACTGAGCTGCACCAAAAGTACTTCGAGCTCCTGGCGCGTGAGGCCTGGGCTGAACCACAGGGTTTAGGAGTTCACGGATTAGGCTTGGAGGTCCAGACGGGGTTAAGGTGGGTTGGATCAGAGGTGTGAAAACTCCTGTTATTATTGCTCGTATCATTATCATTGTTATTGTCATCATTGTTACTACTGCTTGGTATAAGTATTATGAGTATTATTATTGCTATTACTACTTTTACTATCCTCACAAGCAGTATCATTACTAGTATTACTATTGCTACATTAGGGTTTGAGACTTTGGAGCTGGGCTCCGGATCCAACAAGTGAGGGATCATGGTAGGTGATTCCTGACGCCCGACCACCCTGATGTAGAAATAGTAAGAACAATAATGGTACCAATCGTAGTAATAGTAGTGCTGGTAGCAGTCACAATAGTAATCATAATCATCACAGGAATAAGAGCAACAATAACAATAGTAGCAAGAATAATAAGGTTGCAGACGGACAGGTGCTCACAAAATACTAGGGCTTGAGGTGTGCATCGACCCGGGCCATCAAGCCGCAGGCTGTCGGGAGAGGCATCCTACTGACAGTCGTGGCTCCAAGCTCGTTCGTGAGTCACTGGCTTGTGGAGAGCCGAGATTGAAGCAATGCGGATTTCCGTTCGGTGGAGCTGATTCAGACCTGTTCTGTCGAATTCCTTCCGCTCTACAGCCCACTGAAGTGCCTGTCCGTGCTCAGGATGTGTCGGTGCTATGTTTCGACTTAAAACAATGGCTTGCACCCACAGGTTCTAAACAAAACTACGACTGCCAGAGCCTGTTCGAGATATGCGAGGTGAGGACCAGAAACACGGGAAGCTGTGGCGAATAGCGCAACTTCGGGATTCGCGAGATTGCTACCAGCACAGCAGCATGTATGCTGTTGTAGCAGATTTTTGTTCCGACGATGCGAAAGTCATCGCGTGAAACCGCCCAAGTACGTTTGTGGAACCGATCCGGGCCATCCAGCTGGAGGCTATCGGGAGCGGCATCCTACTGATAGTAGTGGCTCCAAGCTCGTTCGTGAGTCACTGGCTTGTGGAGAGCCGAGATTGAAGCAATGCGGATTTCCGTTCGGTGGAGCTGATTCAGACCAGTTCTGTCGAATTCCTTCCGCTCTACAACCCACCGAAGTGCCTGTCCGTGCTCAGGATGTGTCGGTGCTATGTTTCGACATAAAACAATGGCTTGCACCCACAGGTTCTAAGCAAAACTACGACTGCCAGAGCCTGTTCGAGATATGCGAGGTGAGGACCAGAAACGCGGGAAGCTATGGCGAATAGCGCAACTTCGGGATTCGCGAGATTGCTACCAGCACAGCAGCATGTATGCTGTTGTAGCAGACCGTTGTTCCGACGATGCGAAAGTCATGGTGTCAAACCGCTCAAGTACGTTTGTGGAACCGATCCGGGCCATCCAGCCGCAGGCTATCGGGAGAGGCATCCTACTGATAGTAGTGGCTCCAAGCTCGTTCGTGAGTCACTGGCTTGTGGAGAGCCGAGATTGAAGCAATGCGGATTTCCGTTCGGTGGAGCTGATTCAGACCTGTTCTGTCGAATTCCTTCCGCTCTACAGCCCACCGAAGTGCCTGTCCGTGCTCAGGATGTGTCGGTGTTCTATGTTTCGACTTAAAACAATGGCTTGCGCCCACAGGTTCTAAGCAAAACTACGACTGCCAGAGCCTGTTCGAGATATGCGAGGTGAGGACCAGAAACACGGGAAGCTATGGCGAATAGCGCAACTTCGGGATTCGCGAGATTGCTACCAGCACAGCAGCATGTATGCTGTTGTAGCAGATTTTTGTTCCGACGATGCGAAAGTCATGGTGTGGATCCGCCCAAGTACGTTTGTGGAACCGATCCGGGCCATCCAGCTGGAGGCTATCGGGAGCGGCATCCTACTGATAGTAGTGGCTCCAAGCTCGTTCGTGAGTCACTGGCTTGTGGAGAGCCGAGATTGAAGCAATGCGGATTTCCGTTCGGTGGAGCTGATTCAGACCAGTTCTGTCGAATTCCTTCCGCTCTACAGCCCACCGAAAGGGCTATGGCATCGAAACTTTTCGATCATGGTTCTGCGATAAGCAGATGAACTGAAAGCAAGGTCCCCTCCACCGATGGGTTCAACTTCCCGCATAAGTCAGGGTTGGTGGATACAGTCATTCTGCTGGGATGTCACGTTATTTCTGTTCGCTTGTTGGTTCCAGGTTCAATCGTGTGTGTGTACGTATAACCCAATCAGAATTCGAACACATGTACTCTGCATGACCACATTGGTGCATTTGGGATTACAGTGCTTCAGAAGCCACCCCATGCCTGCGCTGAACCAGGGTTCGGCTCAGTGTTGACCGTGCCTTGTCTCCGATTGTCGCACCTGCACCTGTGCCTACGAAGACCTTCATTCAGAACATTTGCTGGCAAAGAAGGAAGGACTTTCGTCGAGCTTTCCCTTTCCCGATTCTCTGATACTGTAGCCGAGAGGCGGAAGACTTTCTTTGCAACAATCTGTTCGGTGAGGAAAATTGCCTGGAGGCTAGTTTCGCGGAATGCAACAGTTGCTTCGCTTCCTGCTGCTGTGGACTCTGGGATGTTGCTTGCCAAGTCCAGCTAGCAGCTAGGAGTTGGGCCAGCGCTCTGAGAGGCGTTGGAGGCCACCAGAGATCCTGTGCACAACTTCTGCAACTGTTCCTGCGCGAGGCTCTCCAGACCTTCCATCCCTTCTACGGCGAGGCCCTCAAGAAGTGCATGGAACAGGCAGGGTGAACCGTGTGTTTGGCAGAGTGAGTACAGCTCTGGGTCTGGGTTCAAGAGCTGTGCATAGCAGCCTGCGGTGAAGCGGTCTCGGCACGTTGTTAGTTGCATGCGCCAGAGCCGTTTGAGCTTCTGATGTAGCAACGGCTGTCCCCACATCCGCGACAAACATCGTCCGGAGAAGGCGCCGGCTGGTAGGTTCTGTGATTGGAGATTCTGGCACACCCAGGGGACCCATGATAACAGTTTTGGTCCTGGTACAAGCCGAATGCCGCGAGCTGCTGTGCACATCAGATCTCAGTAGCTCACGCGTCGGTCGGGGATTCCCTTTCCAGTACTTCTCGTTTTTGTCCAGGCTTTTCTTCTCTCTACTTCACTGAGCCCTCATCAAATGGAAAGACTGCTACTGCTAGTTCCGATGTTCCTTATGGCAGCCGTGGAAGCCCACCTGAGGGACCAGCTCTGGCATGAGAAGATGAACCCCAAATCACAACATTCGACTCGGCTTGGTATACATTTCATGTCCATTGGTCGGAGCGTGCTTCAGGTTCGCACAATTTCCTTGTCATTACTCATTAATGATGACTCGCAGTATGATCACCGCCGTCATTGCCATCATGCAGTTAGTAAGTTCAACCTGACAGCTGTCAAGAACGCTTCAGAAGGAGACATGGTGCTTGATGAGCAGTTCATCCAGAAGTGCCGGGAGGTTCGCCGACGAATTTGGTTGACGTCCCTTCCAGCTTTTTGTTCGTCCTGTTTGCACTAGCTACTTCTTGCATGCTACAGAATTATTGCGGTTTCGAAACCTCGTGGTTCCTCATCATCCCTGAATGAGAGGCCTTCAACACCTTCGACCAAGACGGCAGCGGCACAATTGATACGCAGGCGTCCGGTTTGGGATGTGATTCGGAACATCTGCTAGGGAAGGCTTGAAGACCCGCGCAAGATGTAGGCCTGGCGTCCATGAGGCCTGTGAATCAGTGCAGGAGGTCTAGTACTCGTTTCTGCCCTGTGTCGAATATCACCCGAAGAATCAACGGTGGTAAGGATGAGCAGGAGCACGATGGGGGAAGATGGTCATTTGGGGTGACCACCATGATGATGATTGATGATGAGGATGCTGACCATTATCATGATGACAATGGTGATTATCGAAGACGCCACGGTGCTAGTCGCATAGCACAGGAAATGAAGCTCCTTCTGGAAGCTATCGGCGAGGCGCGGATTGGAATGCTACCAGCCGGCCAATCTCTGTGTTCTCCCAACAGCTCGAATGAACAACCCAAACACGAAAGCTGCGAATCAGGACACGTGCACTTGTTGTGGCTAGTTGTCTGCTACCAAATCAGCATCCGAATGTCTGAGCAGTCTACAGTCTACAGTTCATGTAGTTGCAGCAACTTTAGGAGTTCCCTTTTCTTTGGAGCACTTTGTTTGACCCTCTGACGCTACTTAAAGTTCCTGTAGGCTCTGATGCTGATTTCTTCCTGTTGAACGACCTAGCTAATCATCTATCTATCGATCTGTCTAACGCTAGCTATCTGTCCATCTATCTGTCCATCCAGTCGGTTATCCATTCATGGTTCTATTTATCTGTCTCTCTGTCTCTTTGTCTCTCTGCTTGTCTGTCCGTCCGGTCCGTCCGTCCGTCCGTCGTCCGTCCATCTGTCCGTTTGTCTGTCTACGTGTCTATCTCTCCGTTTCTCTAGCTCTCTCTCTATCCGTCTATTTGTCTATCTATCTATCTACCTATCTATGTCAATGTATCTATCTATCTTTCTTTCTTTCATACTATCTATGTATCTATCTATCGATCGATCTATCGGTCGATCTATCGATCTTTCTATCTATCTATCTATCTATCTATATCTATCTATCTGTCTATCTATCTATCTATCTACCCACCTACTTTCCCACCTATCTATCTATGAACCATGTGGCTTGCAGATTAAATGGTTAATCGGCTTCGATGCCCACAGAGTCCAGTCTTCTGCCTGCACGCTTATGCCGGTGCTCAGCTTTCTTCTTAATCTTTTGAGAAACAGGTTCTCTATCGCTGAGAGGCAGGTAGCAAATTGCCATAAGCAGCGGACAGGGCTGTGAACTCGGACAGTCAAGATCTGCAGGCACCAAGCGAGGAAGAGTTGTTCCGTTTCATGGCAGATGTGGATGAAGACGGGCGCATGCCCAAGCATCATCAAAGCTGCGGGAAGGTCTACAAGGTGGTTGCTTCGCTTGTACACCGCAGTATCATTCAGTCAGGTATTCGCAGTGACAAGTTACTGCTTCACTAGTTTGAGGGTTTTCTGGGCCAAGACATGTCGTCAGAAGAAAGACTCTGAAGACACCATAAACATTCGCAGCAATGGCCGTAAACATGCCGTTGTGTTCGTCAAGCCTTCGTGCTCCGACTGCCTCCTGAACTTCTTCTGCATACAGTTGGCAGCAGTACCTTACGTCCGCCTATCCATATCCGGCTGCGATTGCAGCAAGAAGCCAATTCTTTGCCTTGGACAGAGAATTTGCAGAGTTGCAAAGGACAACTACTACAAAATCCGTTCTTAAATGTGGACCGAGGACCGGGGAGATCGAGTTTGCAGAGTTCCTGCGTGCCTTTGAGAAGCAGCGAGGGGGCGCGCAGGCCTTCTTTGTGATAGCTTTGTGCTCTGGCGCTGCAGGCGACAGCCCGTAGAAAGGAGAGAGTGGTTCCTTCCACCCCGTTTGGAGGAGCTCGAGGATGAGCTGGATACCATCGATGCCTTCGTGGCACTCGGGGGAGAGCCTGACAAGCCCGCCAAGCCGAATTTCCTTCCGGGCTAGGGTTGTTTGTTTCTGTTGTCTTTCGCTTCCACTTTGGAGGAGGGCAGTGGTAGAGGAAACACGATGCATGCTTGACAGCTGCTTAGCAGCGTGACAGCAGCAAGCCTTGCCGAACATTTCGGCCACAATCTCTAACATACAAATGCAGCTGCACCTTACCATTGCCACCAGCCATGCCAGGACAGGCTACATTGACACGCAGCGATTGATTCAGGTCGTGAAGGCCCGAACTGCCTACGAGCTACATATGATGAAGATGATCATGATGATTATGCGATGGCTGATGAAGCACGAACGGATGCATGTTTGCCTCCTCAATGCTGGAGGTGAGCTATGCAACTTCGCAATGTTACATGCAGGGCCGCAGCAAAGCACAGTCCTGCCAGTGGAAGTGAAGCTACTCAAGCAACGCATGATCTCGTCATCTTGCCCGTCGATAAAGCAAAGTTTTCGCGCAGAGTCCCAAGTACCACATAGATGCATCTCAGGGATGCCCTAAGACCTGAAGTTTAGAGCCTTTGGCAGCTGGAAGTACCGGGATACAATAGGTCAAACACGAGAGCATCTTGCCTTGCCTTGCCTGCTGCAGGATGAGTTTGGAATGACCATCAAGATCGAGCGACTGATCGAGGACAACTCTGGGCTACGGTACTTCTTGCCACACCCAGGAATCCCAGGAATATGAATAATATGTCGGTAAATATGCAGTCCAAGCTGTTTTGCATTTCTCCACTTTTTCTGTGCCATTCTGCCTCGCTGTCGCTTCCTCATTTCAGTTGAGGCATCCGACTGTGCGTTTGTCCGTTACACGTGCATGCTTGTACTCATCTTCCCGCATGCCTTTTCACGTGGGCTTCGTGTTTAGGCTCCGGCTGTACAATCTGCGTTCATGTGCGTGTACATGTACACTCACATATTTACCATAAGACTGATAGATAGGTAGATAGATTGACAGACAGATAGACAGATAGACAGAGAGACAGATGGATGGATGGATAGATTGATGGATTGGTACGTAGGCTAGGAAGCTAGACAGGTGAACATACAATCCTGCTTGTTTACGTATTTGTGGTAATATGCATGTTTGTACAAAGTACATCTGTGTATTTATTTGGCTGTTTATGTAGCGATCGATGGTAGGCGCGAGCAAGATTAGGCACACTTCGATTTCAGGGAAGCCTCTCCTACCAAGTGTCGTCCCGTAAGATGGTCACAGTGGCTGAAGTGGAATCCAGGAAGTGAAGTTCTTGGGTCTGGTTCGGAAACCTATAAACCTATCAGGGATGTACGGAATATGCGGCGTGTTAGATTCTGTCAAGGCCAGAAGTTGCCGCAGTTCGGAGGAGCTTGACAAGGACAAGGATCAGAAACTGGACTACCGTGAGTTCGCAGCGCTTTTCCAGCCTCCTGATTGGCAAATCGTGATTCTTCCCGATTCTGACAGGGTGTCAGGCTCCCGGTTCGTATGTAGCTCAACTAGAACCAGCAACTTAGTTGCTGCGGTGACTCTATGTGAACTTACGTGAACTCTGATATAGCTTTTCGCATATCAGGGGCTTGCTCCCCCAGGGGTTCTTGAGTGTGCAGTACGTCGGCCTACTGTTTTGGTAGCTTCCTCCGAACTGTCACCAGCATCATGGTGAACGTCCTGCTGCTCCTCGCCTCAATTTTCATTTGCAGTACCAGCCTCGTCGTCGTCATCATCAGCATCAGCAGTGCCACCAGAACAACCATCATCACCTATCACGATCTATCCCCGTCGCTACTAAGTCACTGCTCTTCACTCCTGAGGTGAGACGACATCTGCGCTTGTGAGTTGGTGTAGAGTTCTGAATCCTTGCTTCCGCAAGTACGGACCGCGGGTTCGCCTTTAGCAGCAGTTGGGAGCTCCAGATACCATGACCGGAGATTGTTCTCAGTGCCCCGGGGGTGGATGGAAGCTGCACTCGAAACTGGTGGAAGCTGGAAGACCTGAATTTGGCTCTGCATGCCAGATTTCACCGTTCGTTCTCGTACTGGGACAATCTCGTTTCACCGCCACTGCGCCAAACGAAGAAGCATCAACTTGCTAGTCACATCGCATACGGCAGCCTGTGGTTAAGAGATGTGGGCTTGGGCGAAAGCGCCAGAGTCTAGCAGCTCACGCAGCCGGCGCATCCGTGGCTGAAAGACAGAGGGGCTGGGCCTTTAAGACACCGCTTCAGAGAGTCTACTAGAACCAGAATCAGCAGCAACGAAATTGCTTCGCGGTTTTTCATCACCATCATTAGCATCATTAGCATCGTCCTCCTCCTGCTGCTGTGTGACGCTGTGCGCTGATTTTTTTCTCCCAATCCTCATCCTCATCGGGGTCACTTTGTCATAATCGTCTTCAAGTTCGTCGCCATCGCCATCATCATCATCGTCTCATCGTCATCCTCATCAGAGCCATCCTCACAGCAGCACAACACCGCCGGCAACGACGGGGAGGAGGAGGAGGACTGTCGCCAACTGCTGGTGCTTCTCTTCATTGCAGTAAAACGGTGGTCGAGAATTTGATCAAGCACATCTGTAGTTTGGTGTGGAGGTTCGATGGGACTACAACGCCACTGTGTCAGAGCCAACTGGCACGTTGCTAGTTGCTAACATGTGTTGCTGCAACATAGCTGTCTTTTTTAACCTGTCGTATCGATATACATAGAAGCGTTCAGCCGGGTAGCACAGCGGGAGAGACGCGCAATACTGCGATCAGGTGTTTCTCGTGCATTTAGAAATAACATAGACAATGATGATGATCGTAAGATCGGGTTCTCTGCAGTGCAGGTTTAGACCACGACACTACCAAGTCAAGATACCCCGACATTCCCCAAGTTCTAGCAGCCGCAAGCAGGTGGTGATTGCGCACAACAAGTACTTGAGGTCCCTGGATTACTACCTGCAGAAGGACGCCTGGTTGGAGTGGCTACTTGCATCTCCTGCAGTTTTCGGGACACAGCTGACAGCAGCACATGCTACTTCTGCCTTTCCTCCTCCGCGCCCTTTCCTCTCCAAGCATGTAGCTGCAAGTGTTGTGTCGGTTAAATTCGGGTCACGGATCTCGTGTTTGCCTAGGTTTGGGCCATAGCATGTCGTAGCCTCTGGGACGAGGGTTTGGGAAACCTTCTCGGTTGTATGGGTGGATTTTGGGCGAGGCTTTTGGAGTCCTGGGGAGAGACGAACTAGACTAGCTGAACTCACCCTGCATGCCCAGAATGCTGCGGATGCCACGCCACCTAAACTTCCAGAAATTCTTAAAGCCCTAGACCGTGACTTTTCTCTCTCAGCCTATCTGTGCCTACCGTCCGAAGCTCGGCTCCAGCGTTCTGGGGGTCACCAAGCCACCCGCACGCGGCGGACTCGGCATGCAGGTGCCAGGGGAATTCTGTGAGGGAAAGGCCTGATCGATCGGGACTTGGAGTGTTGAGCTGCGGTTGTAGATTCCAAGAAAGTCCGTTTTAGGCCGAAGGCCTTTTATTTGCGCGTCTGCACTCTTTGGTCTGTTGAAACTGCCGAGATGCCTTGCGGTGCCCTTTTTCGGGTACTGCAACGCACTCCGCCTGTGCTCACCCGCTCAGTGTGGAGTTCAGATGCCGTGCAGCAGAAGGACGGAAAACGAATCGACAACATGGTGGCACTGCTAAGAAAAACGACGCACGTGATGCCTAAAGCAGCGAGCGGAACCGAAGCGTCAAAAACCCATATTCAAAGCCTCAACATCTGACATCAACTACAGTGCGACAGGGAGCAATGGCTTCGCGGCGGCCGCGGGGTCTCGTAGCTACCCTTCTGGTCGCATTGTTCGGCGGCCGGGTGCTGAGTGGTGCTACCATTGTGATTCACTTTTGATACCAGATCTCTCATGACATCGTCATGATGCAGTACAGATATAAACTATGCAACATAGCAGTGACATAGCAGCTATTCAGGCTCTCAAAGCAGGTTAAAGAGCATTCGATACTGAGAGATCTGGGATTGATGTGTAGCGTGTGCAGTCAGTTCATTGTGGGAGAGTGTGTGTGTGTGGTCATCAACATAGCCAGTAGCAAAGCCACCTGAATCCCCATGCAGGGTGCTGGATCAGCCAGTCTTTCGTGGCAGGTGCAGCTCGCCTCGCTTCTTTTTTGAAGTTGTTAGGCTGGTTTACGGTTGAAGTGCGGATTCCGTAGCAGGAGGAACAAGCCCAACAGTCAGAATAGTCACCACAAGATCAAGTCAGAGTCGTTTTACTAGTAGGTGGATGCGAGAACAATTTCACTCCATTTCTCTCTCGCAACTCGCACCAGTTTCAGTAATCGAGCTTCTTCGTGTGCCTATCTCTACCCAAACCTGCATTTTCAAGTGTTCCATGTTCTGCAGCTACAAGATTATTTCAGCCCGGAGATACCTATCCCCTCGCCCCTCTGAAAAATCTCAGTGGTTTTAGGCTCCTGTCTAGATGACCCATCGGAAGGCCGCCCGCCTGCGCCGAGAGCACGGTCCGTGGCACGCTGTGCCGAGGAAGAGGCTGAGAAGTCTTGGGGCTCTTGGAAAACAGGGTTTAGGGTTTAGGGTTTGGGGTTTAGGGATTTTAGAGTGTTTAGGGTATTTAGGGTTTAGGGTCTGGGGTTTAGGGTTTCGGGTTTAGGGCAAGATAAATCAATCATACTCGCCACAATGATAAATCACCATATTCCAAAGTAGTATCATCACAACAGCAAGAGAGGCAAGAGCAATTATAAACAATAGTAATGATAATGATGATATCAGTAACAGCATCAGAAAAAACGGTAATACGGGGAATGCATAGCCTTGATGTTAGTGTAAAAAACTGATTATGATTAACGATACTAATAATAGACTAATTGTAACAAAAATAGTCGCAACGTAGAGCCATAATAATGTTGCTAATAAAAGCTATACGTAGCTAATAAAATGTAAGAGTCATAACAATATAAAGACACCAGAAACTAGCACATGCGGTTTCATCTCTTTGACTCTCGGGCTTCACTGGATGGTTGGGGAACTGGAAGGGGGCGTGTTTGGTTCAGGATTTTGAGCTGTGGCCTGTTGTGCTTTAGGGCTCAAGGCTCGGAAGGGTGAAGTCCGGAACTTGATTAGAGCCGAAGCTATCGGAAGTTCAGGGGTAGGGTACTAGCAACACTAGTACAATGACTGTAGTGCCAGTGTTAATGGTTGAAGCAGTAGCAAGAATAGCGCCGGGTTCAGGGTCCCACTGGGGCCAAGGCATCCTGAGCGGCCCATGGCTCCTTCAGGTTGAGAATAATAGTAGCAACACTGAGAATAATAATAAGAATAATAACAAGAATATTAGTAGCAATAATAAGAACAATAATAAGAATAATATTTCATAAGCATAATAACAGAATATTAACATTATGATGGGGACATAAGAATAATAACAATAAAAACAATATGATAATAATAATAATAAGGAGAATAATATAACAATGATATATTAATAGTAAATATAATGAAATATATTATAACATAATATAAGATAATACAATATATAAGATGTAATATAACATAACATAATATACTATAATGTAATACATTACAGAATACTATAATATAAATATATAACACATAATAATATACAATATAACATATTATAGTATAATGTAATGTAATATGACGTATATGATATAATATATATTATATCATA